TTTCCATGAAATTGTGTTTTGTTTCTGTAAACGGCCCCAGGGAAACTTACTTTTGGGACGCGCCTCGTACTATTACGAGCATTTCGTCATCCTCACTGAATAAACAAATAAGCCACGAAGGAAAAAAAAAATCAAGCATGTGCTAATTCTGTAACGCAACCATCGATACTCCAGCCAATAGCAGCTCGACTTCTGTTTATTTTCCTCATACATTCAATTTAGAAGAATCTCAGTGTACACAAACAATTTTGAGTAAGACGTTTATACCGAGATCAACGACAGTTTCAGTATACTCTTAGCCTATTTTGGATTGTCTTCACCATCTTCTATTAGTTGCCTAATTACATTCAGAGTTTTAAGTTCTGTAACGCTACAGTGCGTAAGAAATAATTCGAAATAATCCAAACCCAGACAGTTCAACGAAAGCGATTAATACTATCTAACCTTTGTATAAATGAATAAAATAAAGGCCATGTTTGGCCATCCGTCCGTCTCTATACCTAATCTCTGAAACTATTAATTTTATTTTCATCAAATTCAAAACAAACGTTTCCTTTGAGCATCTCTACGAGACTATACCCAGCAGTGTCACACTTCTGAACACAAGTAACAAGAAAATTCGAAAACAAAATACAAATTGCCCCAAGCTGATAATGTATAACCCAGAATGAGATCGAAGTTGGGTTCCTTATGGCAAATTATCTAACGTCAAATACATAACCGGATAATGCAACGGTAATGTATTCGTGATGTACTTCTAGAGACTGAGGAGAACCATGTAAACCTGTTAGATAAGCTGCTAATGGTACCGAGATTTGAACCGTATACCTCCCGAAAAAAAGTCTACATTGACCTTTTCAATAAACTAACGCAGTGTAGAATTCGAAAAAAAAATACTGATGAATCTGATGCAGAAAATTACCTTTTCTAAACATTTCGAGACGACGGATGTCAAAGTTCACAAAAGATTATCACAACTGACAAAATCTCTTGACAAAACGATCATTCAATGCTGTAAGAGGGCAGACAGAGCTGACGTCAGTGTCAAAGCGGTGATGCAGATCACATATTCATCACAATATTTGTGCTTACCAGAACGCAGTAAAATTCACAGCGCAGCGTAACACCTGAGGAAAGAAGGTCACTAAATGGTGAAGTTAAATTATGTTCGTCACAACATTAGAAACATAAATTCTTGAAAAGCACGTTTTGTTCAGTTCGAGAAGTGTTAACATCTCATCGACTTACCAAACACCGAAGATCAGAACATAAAAGGCAGCAGAGACGGAAATCTTACTGGACCACAAAATAAATTATACCAGGTGGACGATTTGAAGGGCGTGTAATTATATATTTATAACACATACGAAAAATGCATGTACTATAAAAGTCAACAAAATTCAAATTTAATAATTTTTCCTTGTTCGGTGCGTGTTTTCAATTCTTAATTAAAGCCTGAATTTTAGGAAAATTCTAAATGGACTCGATCGGAATGAAATCGGAACACTAGAAGCAAAGTGGCCAGATTCTGCTGGACAACCTGGCTTCCTGAGCGTTCGACAAAATTTACACTTCAAAACAGACGGGGATTCCCGTCACTTGGGAGAGCAAAAACACAAGGGTATTCATGTGACGTATCCGTTACTGCCCTACAATCTCGAAACTGCAATGTGTACACAAATGTTCGTAAAAAGCCCCAATTTAGTGAAAAACCATTCAGCGGTTCTGAGTTGTTACGGACGGACAGAGGGCGAAGCCAATACGCTAATATTTGCAACTTAGTTGCGACTAAATCAGGTCGGCCAACAATGTTTCCAGAACAGCGGGGTTTCCGTACGTAAAATGATCAGGTGTGTTCAGAATTTGTATTCTTAAAATCGAGATTCAAACGCATTTTCCCAAAAATTTCAGGAATATAACTTGATTTTTTTTCCATCCCCTCAACTGTCGCGTCCTCGCAAGTTCTTTGTCTCTCTCCCTAAGAGATTTTGAAATATCTGCCGACGTTCATGTGTCCTGCCACTGAACGCCATCCACTCTCTGTACTACTTAATTTCCTATCGTTAATAATACCAGCATGGCGGCAAAGCGGAAATCTGACGTAAAGCGTCACTAACGCTGCTTAATGCAAGATCACGAAGCTTTGTATGGTAATTAACACGTCTTGGAAAACTTTGTTCAGGTAACGTTTTAGAAAGTAAAAGTAAAACACCAGAACAGCAGCGAAATCGATAACGTCCTGCTTTTCACAGTTTCGGACTGCGAGACCTTCTTACAATGAGGATGTGTCCCACAGCAGCAAACGACACATATGTAAATAATCCATTTGCATTCACGACCCATTAGCAACGTGTTACACAATTTACTGGAAAGGTCGAACATGTAAACATGACGTATGATTACAATAACAATTCTGACGTTTAATACCATGCAAGACCAATTGCAATTCAGTAATAAAAATCTATTTACTTCCAAATTCAAAAACAAGAGAACTGGGAATTCGAAAAAAAAAAAAAGATATATATATTATATATTAAATCTTGTCCGTCTAATCACAATAAATTCTTATTAAATATTAAAATCTTACAATAGTTAACATTTAAAATATTTAAAATATTAAATGATGTTCTTTATCGAAATATTCGATTTACATTAGACCATCACTTTTCATGTTTCACTACATGTTTCAGTTCCTAAAAGAACCATCCTCAGGTGTATATAATTATATAAAGCTTCAAAACGATAAATAATTCAAATACAATTTTCATACATTATGCTAGCGTGCATTTTTATTAGATTTTTATCAGATATCAAATGATGTTCTTTTTCAGATTTTTAT